TATATATATATATAATTGTTAGTGATTCTTATACTAGCATCTTCTAACAATTTGAGTAGCACCTCCTTAAGACCAATTGTGCTTGAGAGGATTCGAACCACCAACCTGAGAGCACTTATATCATGGATGCTAACCAACATGTCAGGAACGGCGCACACATGTGTGCAAGCGCACATATACATACATACATACATCTTGACACGTGTGAAAGATCTGCATCATTGGTGCAGCCTCTGACATAATTCCCTCGTGTCGGGGGTTCGAATCTCGTGGCGCGGGCTCTTCGAATCAGAATCAAACACACTGAGTTTTCAACTCATACGAGGGAATCGATATTGAGTGCCTACTAGACCAAATATCGATTTCACCTTTAATATATATATATATATATATGGATAAATTGAGAGTTGGCCAACAAATGAACAAATTATTGAAGTACTGTTATTGAATGTATTGCGTTATTTAAAAAACATTAGGAAAAGTAACTTAGAATGTTAGAAAATACCGGCGAGCTATACTCCACTTCTCCGGCAGCGCCATCCCCCATCTTCCCTTCATCCCCCTCCTTCCGTCTCTCAACAAGCCGGCTCAACCTCACCCTCTTCCTCAACCCAAACTCCCTCAACACCTCTGCAAAACGCCACCGGTTCAATCCGGCCGCCATTAAAATGAAAAATAGGAAAAAAACTTTGAAGAAAAAAAATTAACCTTCGAAGCTGACGAGGCGGTAGGCGTAACCGATATTGAGGTTATCGTTCGGTCGGAGAAGGCTCAGGTGCTTCGCCGGTGTTTCTCCTCCGCTGCCGCCGGAAAAGGTGACGACGGCGACGTAGTAACCGGGACAGGCAGACATGATGTCGCCGGCGATGATCGAACGATAGATCTTCTCTTTCTTACCGTCGGGATGCTCGATCTCGGCGGAAGGCGCCGCCGTCTCCGCCGCCTGGCAGTTTCCCATAGCTGGTCGGGTCTTAATATAATAATTTATTTTGTGGGGTGTGAAGTATAAATAGGGAAATTGCTGGGAGGAGTTAGATGGGGGTATTTAGTGGGCTGAAATGTGGGTGGTGGGCTGACTAAGAACTAGGTGGAAAGCTTGGCCCACTTGATTAAAATTTAGCTTAAATGTAATAAAAGTTATTTAATGTTTTATGTGGTTAGCAATTTTTTTTGTTAAAATAAACTATCTTTTATATTACTTAGTAAAACTATGGTGTTGATATTAAACCTTTAATTTAAAATAAATTACAATTTATTTAATTAAATTATTACTTTTGTTTATTGAAATTTTACTCTTGGTATGTCTGAATAAGTTTTTTTTTTTTTTGGTTAAAAATATTTTTAAATAGAAATATTATTTATATTACTGAAAAAGGATAAATTTTGAAATTTAAAAATACTAATTTTAATAAATTTTATTGCTTACATTAGGTGAGTTTATATTTATTCATTTCTTTTATAGAGATACATTGACTCAGTATACATTATGATGCACCGACATGAATGTTGAGAAGATCCAAAGATCTAGAAAACACAAAGGGCTATAGACCAAGGACACCACTTACTTGGCCAAATGCAACTCTTTGAACCGGCACTGGAGGTGATCAAGTGTAGACACCCACTCAAAGAAAATAGTTCAGTATCACTAGCAATGTCATGGACGCCTCGAAGATTTTTCATCGACAATAACATAGCCTGCGACCATCCTGTTAAACCTCTTTCTCAAATAATGAGCTATCTATTAGCTTATAACGATTCATTCTCCCCCCATAGCCTAGTCTCATTTGATCGATATGATCTCCTCATACAAGAATTAACGATTGACAGTCATACTAGAACAACAAATTGACAAACCCAAGTCGATCGTATCAGCTTTGCCAACCTAAAGTTCATCAAATGCCGACCAGCAACCAAGTCAGAGGGTTCAACATTGATGTGATCTTTAAAAAGAGGCAAAGAGAGTATACCACTTCTAAACCATATTAGCAAGACTTAAAAGATTATAAATTTATAATAATAAAATATGGAAAAAAAAATATTTTATAATATATATAAATAAGACCTAAGATGTGTGCGCTGACTCGTTGACGGATCAATTAGTGGCTCTCTCTAAACCACTTGATTATTAAATAATGGGAAAGAAAATAAATGAAGATAAAGATAAAATTAAGGATGAGTCAGCCTACCTAAAAATGGAGAATTAACTTTTAATTTCTACTTTTGACAAAATGAAGCTCCATAACATAAGTTTGGTTTTTGTAGGGATCTAACTGCCACGTGCCGTATTTTAATTTCTCAAGGATTATAGCATACTTCGTTCAGACGTCTGAATGTCCGGACGGCCAATTCCTGAACGTCATGTCACCAATCAATGAGGTGTGTGCCGAAATGGCACCCGGTGGTTGTCTTTCTGGACGTGTGGTGACGGGAGAAAATTATAAATAATTAGGAATTTTTGTCTGTGTTTCCTTTAACGTTGCTCTATTTATAAAGGGGTCTAATTGATTTGATGAAATGATAATTGCATCCTTATTTGATTGTTGATCTACTGACTCATTATCGATTAGCTCATTGTTGTGCAGTTGAGTTCTTCCCAAACAATGCCCAAGTTGACCGATGTTGGGTAATGTGGAGAGCCGGTCCACGGTAATTTAATTAGTATTTTAATTAAGAATCTCACCTACAGCTCATGTGTCATCCCACTTACCGCTCGCCTACCACATCCTAGATCTCACTCACCTACCTCACACCTACCGTTCTCCTGGTTTTTATAAATAGATTCTTAAGAGAGAAAGAAAGGAAGAGAGAGAGAGAGAGAGAGAGAGAGAGAGGGAGAGAAGAAAATAGAATTTTTTTTTAAATGTCGGCGCGCTCGACGGTGTAATTCTTTGAAGAAATAAAATCCTCTGCAGCTACGTGGATGAAGGCAAATTTGTCGAACTACGTAAATCTGTGTCGCTCTGGTGTTTTTCTGCCTGCAATTTTTCACTTTCCATTTTTTGGTTAATTTTCGTCATTTTTCACACCGACCGACTCATTAGAACTACGTAGATTTGTCCGTACGCAATAATTTCTCCGAAAGATGATGCCAACAAATTTTTTCTACACTTATACATAAGTGAAATTTTGTAACAAAAAAGGGATGAAAATTTTAGAGCCAATTTTCACAAGTCTCGCTCTTCATCAAGTGTGAAAAACATTGAAAAGAGAATCGACGTATTTGTAAGTTTGTGAAACAAACTCAAGTTTTTTTAACAACAACAAGACGTTTGTGCCACAATCGACCGGTCATAAGATTGTATTGACATTTTTCTTTAAATCCTTATTTGATATAATATTTTTTTAAAGCGTTGGCGAAATTTAAAAAATATTTTAATTTTTCATGAGCAGTATGAGTTTCTCCATCTATACTCGATGTGAAGGAGATTTATTGATTTGATAGTGTGATCCTATTATGTCAGTTTGGCTAGGCGTGGAGAAGACCGGTTTTAAGGTTTGGCCGAAATACATAACGCAACCTTCAAATGTCATAAGAGTGATTTTCTTGGCACTTCAAACTTGTGCAGCCTCTAACTTCAACATATATAATTTATGAACATTATCATAATTTTTACATCTCTTAACTTTAACATCTGCGACCTATATATATCATTATAGCTTCCTGCCACGGTCTATATAAGCAATTACGACTCAAGACTTATAGCTTGCACGACTCCAAACTCTAACATCTGCAATCTACAGACATTATTGCAACTACGTACTACAATCTCCGTGGCCAATCAACATTCCTGAAGTGAGTTGATGGCCCATATGGCCAACTAGTACTATGACTTTCAACAATGAAATCTATCACAAACCAACACTATAATCACCGTCAACAATATTCACGATAAAATAATGTAATAACAATCAATTCTGGTCTTCGCGACCCATTTGTTGTTCAACTTTATAATTTTATATTCATTAACTCCGTAAAAAAGTGAACATATATAATCATCATTATATAGTGAATTTTTTCAACTAAGCCAGACTCATAAATTTTTCTCGTCTTTAAATTTTCTACGTAAAAATTTTTAATGTTTAATATTTATTAAATTCTAAGATACTAAACAATCACTTTAAGGCATCATTTATCCATACCAATTTTCCATAATTTAATTAAAATTATTTTAAAATACTATTATCTTGTATACCAATTTAATTAGTACGTTAGGTAACATATGATATGCACTTAGAGACAGATTTATGCAAAGAAATAATTGTATTATGATATGATATAATACATAAATATATTACAAGACAAACCTTTTGGCTTTCATAAATATCCTAACCCGACAGCTCCCCCATAACAAAATAGCCCAACTGCCACGCGGAAGCCCGCATGCGCAGTAATGGCCCCGTAACAGCACGCCTCGGTCGCAGCCCCCACACGGTTTTCCCGCGGGCCGTGCCGGGCCGGGCCGAACCTTCCCATATTCTTAATTATTATTTAATTTATTTCTTTATTTATTTCTGGAAATTTGCTTCTCGCTGCTATAAAGGAAGACTGTCGCTCGAAATCACAAGAATCGGAACAGTTTTCCCCTCTCGATCTCTGCTCTCAGATTTCTCCGTCGCCGATCGCTTCTTGTTTTAGTTTTCGTTATCCTCCGGGGAGGTCGAGATGAGTTACAATCAGCAACAGCCGCCCGTCGGAGCTCCTCCGCCGCAAGGTAATGAATGGATTTCGATTTTGCGATCTTTGATTCGTTTGATTTTAGGGTTTGTATGTCGTTCTTGAGGGCGGGATGTTAAGAGTTTTTTCTTCTTTTTTTTGTGTCATTAGGTTATCCGTACGGCTACGGGAACGAGAAGGACGCCTATCCGCCACCTGGTTATCCGGCTCAGGGATATCCGGCAGGAGGATATCCGCCGCCGGGGGGCTATCCGCCGCAGGGAGGCTATCCGCCGCCTCAGTACGCGCAGCAACCGCAGCCTCAGCAGAGCAGTGGACCGAGTTTCATGGAGGGATGGTGAGATCAAGATCTCTCTCTATCGTTCTCTTTTATTAGGCGTACAAAAACTCAATTAGAGAATTATAAATTTCTTACCGTTGCGATTTCTTCAATTAATGGTTGGATCGTTTACATTCCAACCGTGCTAAGGTAAAGCGATCTGATCTAGCAGCGCTATCATGCGCTTCACCCGACACGATTGCTTCGGGATCAAGTTTCTATCCGTTTCTAATAAATTTATATTTATATGAATTGATTCCATATTGTTTTCTTAATGTTATGTGATAATTCTGTCATAGAATTAAATTATATTAATCTTAATTTCTTTGTTATGCTTTGATTGGATCTATTTACAAAACAATTTCGATTTATAAAAATTAAAAAAAAATTAAAATTTATCATGATAATTTCATTCTCACAAACATCAACTCAAAACTAAATATGAATCGAAATAATTTTTAGAGTATGAGATTAAAATTGTTATATTTATATGTTGAATTTTGTTTTATCGTTGAATCCACCCAAGAGATAAGAGTGAACACTAATAAACATTAAATTATATCATTGTCTTTATCTTTCTGCATCATCTTTATTAAAATCAGGTAAATCTAATCTACCTTTTTTTTTTAAGATGAAATGATCCATCTATTTATAGAGTCAGGTACAATATGAATATGTGATGTTACATTTTATCTATATTTTAATGGAGGTTGTTACAAATATATTGTTTTGTTGCTCTCTGGCTCGTTTGGCTGAGCTTTATATAACTTCCGCTCGACAGTGCCCATTTGCCCGGCTAGGCTTGGGTTGGTCGGGGATATCTACTCGGGTTGGCATGATTGGTTTTGTTAGTGAAGTTAGTCTAGTTGCATCGGCTAGATTTTTTCCGAGCAGCTTCTTAATGTCCGTTGGCTCTGTTGTTTTTTGTCTTAATTTCTGACCGAAAGGCTAAAATTGGGAAAATATTTGCGTACATAAGATGTACGCAGCTCTGCGTACATCAGGGGTTATTCAGGGGTACAATGGGGTTATATCTGTTATATCTGGGTACAATGGGGTTATATCTGGGTTATACCCCCTTGTAACCTCCGGTATAACCCGGATATAACTCCCCTGAACCCCCAAAATAACCTCTGATGTACCAGCGCTGCGTACATCTTATGTACGCAAATATTTCTCCTAAAATTGGGGTCATTCGATCATATTTTGTGATTAGGCCAGCTTTGACCTTATTGTTTTAGCTCGTACAACTGCACTTAATCCGAGAAATGAGCCAGATGATTTTCAAATACTCTTCTTTACGAGTAGATGTCCTCGAGATAAATATTGGCTAATTTTAATCATTATTATTTTCTGAGAAAAGTTGGCTGACCTTGTGCATTTAACTGTGACAGTTTGGCTGCGCTTTGCTGCTGTTGCCTACTGGACGCATGCTTTTAGAAGAAATGGATGAGGACTGACTGACGACGGCTATGGAGGTTCTTTGCGAATTCTCTATCTCTACTATGGCCTTCCAGTTTCTAGCTGTTAGTTGGTCTTTCTGCTCTGTAATTTCCATTTTCTTCCTTTATAATTATAGTGTGGGACTTATGGAGATCTGAGTCCTCCTCAGATCGGTTACATAAAGGGTTTCTTCTACTTATGGACCTGTTTGTGCTGTGAAAAGTTCAATTGCTTTCAATGTTTGAATATGGATTGATGACCGCTCTCTTTTCTTTTCTTTTTTTTAACCAACCGATTTCTTAATTGTTACATAGAAGATCAACTAAGACCCATGAATGTAGCTTGTGTTGGTATTTTGAATCATTCATAAACTATAATCATATATAATTGTTAATTGTTAGGAAGGTTAAAGTGCCCAGCCAAATCATTCCCATATAGATTCGTCCGACAAAGACAGATTTTTCAATGCAGAAACTTCAACTAAGCAGCAAAAGAAGAAATTGAATGTATAAATCGAAACGAGTTGCAAGCTAAAAGTCAAATTCTTTGACTAGTAAGACGATTTGATCGTCCAATCACGTCTTTACGACAATAGCCCGTTGGCCGTTACGATGAAAAGTCAATCCTCTTATTTGGGCGTCCGGATGCCGTTAACATGCAATTGCTCGCTGAGTACGACTCGAATACACCTAAACTTTTACATATTTTAAAATATACACGGACAGATGAGAGCACCCAATATCATCGACTCACCTAAACTTCCGCATCTACACATTTAACGCTGAAATCTGTAATATAACCATAAAAATTATAATAAATCATAATATATTTAAAATTGTAAGGCTCATACATTCAACGTTTAAATTTCGATAAATCGTTATACATTTTACTTCAAAAGTGTTCATAATAGTGGCTTGATCACCAACTCAACTCGTCTTGTTCAAATTTGATAATTGCTTACAAACATCGCACGCAAATTTATGTGAAGCCCACTCTAATATTTAAAAAAATAAAAGATATATTTCAATGATTTTGATCAAACAACACAGACTCACAATTTAAGTCCATGTCTGTATGCAATAATTACTCCTCCCTCACACCCCTTCACATGAAAAAATTATTGCATACGGACATCACATGCATCCGATCCTGATCATAGATTACAGGAATCTACGGTCAAGATTATTTACATTTTTTTTTTAAATTTTAAGGTGAGGCCCACCGAAATACATCTGAACCGTAAATCAGGTGATTTACGATCTAAATGCCTGCATGCGATATTCGATCCGTATGAAATAATTTCTCTCTCACATGCCTCTTTCAAGATAAATTCAATTTTATTATATATTCAAACGAATTTAAATGATTTATTTTATAATGGCTCTGCAAGCATTTCTCCTTGAGCAAGAATTAGATAAATTGTTAACATAAATTCAAGACAACCAAACCCGGCCTAAAACAGAGACACCCGTATACTGAAATGCATAAAATATCCAATATCCACTATTCATCAATCCAGCATTTTTTTACAAAATACATCTTTATTGTGATGAACAGTGGATATTGGACAGTCAATTTTTCCACAATAAGGTGTTTGGTTTCAACTACATCTATCAAATAGTTCTCTTTCAAGAGGATTAACTTCTTACTGCAACGGGTATAACGTTTAAATTATGTAAGGTGAATCCTATTTACATTAGATTGGTCAATAGCTTACTGGTTACATCCTCCAAGGAGAATACTTTACAGGAACAATACATGAATCTACGGATATAGATTGAAGTTTTTTGAACAATTCCGAATCACAAAGATTTCAGCTGAAAAAATCTTTTGAATTAAGAGCACATTAGTTCAAAACATGAGCTCATCAAGTTGATGAATTACACAATGCGAGACACAAGTGTTATAGAGATAACAGCGAAGAAATCTATCAATTAGAGTAATAAGCAACTTCAGGACAGAAAGTTCCGATAGATAACCATTAATGTTCTACACCATAAAATATCCACCATCCAAAGATTTTCAATCACCCCCAAACCCAATCCCCCACCAAACACATCAAAATTAAAACCCTAATTTACAGAAAAGCGGGTAAGACACCTCACACCTTCCCTACAAAACCTAACCGCCAAACCCATAGAGAGTGCGGCCTTGGCGCTTCAGAGCATAGACGACATCCATCGCCGTAACAGTCTTCCGACGAGCGTGCTCCGTGTAAGTCACAGCATCACGTATAACGTTCTCCAGAAAGATCTTAAGCACGCCGCGGGTCTCCTCGTAGATCAATCCGCTTATGCGCTTCACTCCTCCCCGGCGAGCGAGGCGGCGAATCGCCGGTTTTGTGATCCCCTGAATGTTATCGCGGAGGACCTTGCGATGGCGCTTCGCGCCTCCCTTTCCCAGACCTTTACCACCTTTTCCTCTTCCCGACATCTTCTTCGATCTTCGATTTCTTTTCTCGGTGAGTGGCAGGAGGCTTGGTGAGAGAGGTGGTTTATAGATCGGCGAGGTAATGTGTGGACCGTTGGATGTGATTTTTATCCAAGGGAATGGAATGTGTTTGATTTGAACCGTTAGATTGTGAATTCTTATGTTTCATTGGTTGAGAGCGAAAGTTTGGGATCGGGAGGATTTAAAGAGGTTGGATAGTTGCCACGTTGGCGTTTCTGGATGCGGGATATAAAGGTCATTTTGACACCACCGGCTTATTAACTCGTTTGAGGCAGCTTGTGCGTTTCAGGATAAACTGTTTATTCTGAAACGTCGGTCGCAGGGGTCGACCCGCGGCCTACTTTTATGTAAAAACTCAAATTCAATTTCGGATAAGCTGGTGAAACGCGTGAATCTCGCCCGCACTTATAAGTTGCCCCAAACAGACCCTGATCTTGCAGCATATCTTCCCTTTCACACTCCCATTCATGTACTCGCTAACCCTAGCTCTACCAGCATCATGTGCATTAATTGGGGAGACTTTTCGCCGTAAATAAAATGTTTCAGGGTCTGTAAATTATAAAGTTTAAAAACCTTCATATATAAAATCCCCTAAAAGAAAATGATAAAAGTAAACATTTTTTTTTAAGAAAATAAAAAAATGCATAATAATATCAGATATGATTTTATTTTTAAAATCAAATTTGTTAAAGAATATAAAATATATTTTATTTATGCTAAAATATAAAAAAAGGATAAAAAAAGACAAAATAAAAAAGGGCATTTGCATACATACCACACAATACTTTTGCATTCAAACACCAAAATTTTATTTTTTTTATTTATACGGTCTAATTTTTCATATTATAAACTACTATTATTGTGTACATTTGGAATGCATCAACACAAATCTTGAGGAGATCCAACGATTTAAAAGTCAGAAGAGTGCAAATAAGAAGTGCTTACTAGTAGAAAATCATGACTTGCTTATTTAATCAACATACCAGTCTGAACTAAAGCCAAGGCTCAAAATTGACCGCATGCAGCCATCCATTCGAGGGGCAGCCAAGATAAAGACGTCCAAATGGTCCGAGCACAAACTCATCGAACTAAGACATGACAAATAGATATACAAGCCAACCACTATAGCGGACCAAAATCGAGAAAAAAGTTTACTCCTCATTACCATTTATCATCTCACGAATGCCCCAAAGGCTCCATATTAGAGATTGAGAGGTTATCATGTTACAAGCAGTCCAAATCTTTTCTCAAACTTTCCTTATCGAAAAGTGAGTTTTTTATGAGATTACCAAGATTCACCATATGCTCGATAACCTAACATCCTCAGCCAACGAGCTCCTCGGTGGGGATCGTGATGTGATATATACCAGTTGTTGTGATATATATATAGAAATATAAAAATAGAAGAACGATCTTTGACGAAGCGAAAAATAGAATGAGAAAATTCACACCAGAAAAAAGTAACACGACGGAACACACAGATTTACGTGGTCCGACAAATTGCCTACGTCCACGGAGTTGTAGAGGATTTTATTACTTGAAGAATTTACATAAGTTGATCGTCTCGACTTACAAAAGGAATATCTCACTTCGTTGCTCTCTATTCTTCTCTGTTTGTTCTTCTGCCTTTACACCGAGATACACTGAAGAAACTTTACACCGAGATTAGAGCTGTAAACGAGCCGAGCTTGAGTGAGCTCAGGCTTGACTCGTGTTCAGCTCGTTTGAAATAGCTCGTGTTCGAAATCGGCTCGTGAATAGTGTGTTCGTGTTCGTTTCGATTTAAATATTCGTGTTTGCGTTCGACTCGAAATTGGCTCGTTAAAATTAAATTGAGAAAAATAGATGTAAAGTGTGAGATTCGAACCTGGACCACATATATACAAAAGAATACGCTAACCACATTGTCACATGAGGTGTTATGATTTAAACTTAGACATAAATATATATAATAGATTATTATATAAATAATATATGTAATATATTGTTATATAAATAGTTATGTAATGTTTGTTTTTGAGCTAAAACGAGCCGAACACGAGCAAACAAAGAGTTGCTCGTGTTCGACTCGTTTACTCGTGTTTGACTCGTTTAATTAACGAACGAGCCGAACACGAGCTACTTAACGAACCAAACACGAGCTGTTCGCGAACAACGAGCTTTTTTGACAGCTCTAACCGAGATACATCGAAGAAGATAAACTTATAAGAGAAATAAACTCAATTTCTCTTCTGTCAGAAGCCACCAAGAAGAAGCCAAGGGAGAATGATATTCTTCTTCTTCTTTCTTCTTCCTTCTTCCTTCTGGCGCTAGGAACCACCCTTCTGGCGCAAGGAACCACCGCTTGCACTTCTCTTCCTCTGTTCCGAGCAAGTTCGAAGAATAACAAAAAAATCGTGACTTAGAAACTAAAGGAGAGCCGCTACGATGTCTATTATCGTGAAACCTAGCACTGGAACAGTTGAACAGGGCAAAGCGAAGCTTCGCTTCTCGACAGAGGAGCGTCGACGCCGATTCGCAAAACGGGAGGAGGATCGAGAGCAGGATTTGTGATATTCGCGATCGGGAGACGGGAGCAGTTCGCTAAAAGTCGCAAAAGCGAGGCCGGAGCGAGCGAAACGGGAAAGGTGCGGGGCAGGAACGGTCGAACCGGGCTCCAAAACTCAACAGATCGAAGGTAAACCTAGATGATTATTTCTCTTCTTTTATCTGTGTGTGTTGAAATCTCGTGCAACACTAAGACGTAATTGATTACTGTACCGCCGCGAATTTTCTAGCACGCATCAATGTTAAAATATAAAAAAAGGTAAAAATAAAGACAAAATAAAAATGGGCCTTTAAAGTTCTAACACCCAAATTTCATTTTTATATTTATAATATTGACTTTTCATAATATAAGCTACTACTATTTTATACATTGAAATTGCGCTAACACAAATCTTGAAGAGATCCAACAATTCAATAGATAAAAAAGTACAAATAAAAAGAGCCTATTGGCAGAAAATCATGAGGCCCACTTATTTGAACTAAAGACAAGACTAAAAAACGATCGTATGCAGCCATTCATTAGAAAGGCAACCAAAATAAAAAAGAAGTCCAAATGGTCATATCATGAACTCATCGAACCAAGACATGACAAATAGATATAAGCCAACCACCTCAAGAAGATTTATCGAAGTCGACAATCAACCTTACAATAGACCAAAATCAAGAAAAAACTTAACTCCTCAGTACCATTTGTCATCTCACGAATGCCCTAAAAGCTTTGTATTAGGGATCGAGAGGTTACCACATTATAAGAAGTCCAAATCTTCCCTCCGACTCTCCTTATCAGAGAGTGAGCTCTCTATCAGATTACAAAGATTCACCATACATCAGATAGCCTAACATCACCCAGCTAACGAGCTCCTCATCAGGAATCAAAGGTAAAACTAGATGAGTCATTCGATTAAGTTTAGCTAATTGAGTTAGTAATGTCGACCCGAAGTCAATCGACGAACAACCTCGACTAAAGATAGCAAACAAGTTTGCCTCAGCAAACCAAAGCTTATGGAGCTCAGTCAACCGAGTTAGTAGGCAGCTGAGTCATAGGCTCATACATGTAAAATACTTAAAATATTCAGTAACACCCACATTAAAACAATAATAATTATGTAACCTGATGTTTTATACCATATTCCCTATAAATAGTGGTTATTTTATATATAAAAGAAAGAGATTATTATTCATTACTTGCCACTTATACAATACATTTCTTCCTTTCTCAATTTTTAGCTCTAAGAATACATCTTTTATAAAATTACATATATACCTAAAGATCTAAAGTTTATTTGATAGGTAATTGGTACAAAAAGTGGTACATATGTAAATATTTTAAATAAACGTGGTAAATATGTAATTTAGAATTTGATTGTCGCCCATTATGGTAATTTTGACTCCACCGGTTTCTTGCTCCCCAATTAACCGATTGAATCTTGCAGCGTATGCGTATCGTCCCTTTCGCGCTCTGATTCCTGTACTTGCTAGCAGTAGCTCTACCCGCACAACCATGGCGCCGGATCTGCAAACCCCGATGTCCTTTTCCGACTTCCCTAACGACGTTCAGCTCAACATCCTCTCCTTCCTCCAGCCAACCGATATCTCCGCCTTTGCCTGCACCTGCCGCCGCTTCGCTACCCTTTGCAGCCCCTCTTCCCCTTCCACCGACCTCTGGATCGCCCTCTGCGACCGCCGATGGGGATCCAACACCCAGCTCCGGCGCTGGTCTGCCATTCCGACCGCCCTCTGCGCCCGCCGATGGGGATCCAACACCCAGCTCCGGCGCTGGTCTGCCATTCCGTCCCCCCGCCTCTACAAAACGCTGGATCGCTGGGAAAACCTAATCGGCTTCTGGCGCCGCATCGGCAGCGGTATCTCCGAAACCCCAACTCTTGTTTTCTTCGAGTGGAGTTCTAGCTGCATCATCGGGTTCCGCATCTCGCGCTCTCCTGTTGCCGCCTCCTATGCCGTCTGCAAAACCCCTTTCCTCTGGCTCGGTTTCTCGGCCGCCGGTGAGACCTCAAGCTACCTCAATCCCGATAGCAGACTATCAGACTCCGACGTCATCCCAGTGACGATCAGCTTCATGGGATGCAACCATTTATTGGTCGAGGAGAGCCGGAGTTCGAGCGTGGATAAGCTTCTGGACGATTCGGAAGATTGGCTCGGATTGGAGACTGGCTCGCCTCCGGATCGTCTGATGTCGGAAATCTACCAGTATTTCGCCAATAGAACAAGCCCTGGTGCGGAGAAATCTACGAGAAGACTAAGGAAGAAGAAGGAGAAGGAAAGGCTGGGAAGAAGGAGATGGGAGGCTGAGCATTTTGTCAAAATTTCAAACTATTTTCCGACTCCTTCACGACCTCTGCAGGGACTATGGAAGGTGATTGTTCATTTCTATTCTCTCTCATTCTCCGTATTAAAATACTTTGTCTGCCCTAATCGCCCACAAGCTGAAAAATATTACATCAAGAGTCTTGATGCACGAGGACTCTAATGAAATTGGGCAGCTGGTCTTGAGGAGACAGTGCATAGATTAAAATAAATAAATTTTTTATTTAGTGGGTCCATGGTGTATTGTGGCGCAATTTCATTGGTATTCTGATGTTGTTCTCCATTCGGACTCCTGATGTAATATATTTTCTCTCCAGCTGCGCAAGTTGCAGAAATCACCTTCTCTTCCATCTTCTAAAAAAAGGAGAAATTTAACTCTATGGGGCTGTCTGGCAACGGATTTAAGAGCGGAATCCTGGAAGACTGTCATTTTGGACAAAATAAATTCTTGGATGCGGTAAATCCGGCTTTAGCTATAAATCCCGGATACACTAAATCCGATGAATAAGTGGATTCAACTTCGTGGGGTTTGGATTTATGGCACAGAGTGGTGACAGTTGTGGCAAAGCATTAGTTGTGGCAAGACATGTGATAATGCTATCTCTCCCTCCCTCCAAATGGACTTTTGGATTTAAATCGTAGTTTTACTTTTATAGGATTTAGTAAATCAGTTGTCAGACAATTTTCTGAATTCAACGCATTAAGGATTCAATAAATCTGGATTTACGGGATTTACTAAATCCTAATAACTTAAATCTCATTCTTTGCTAGAGAACAACTATAGAAGATTTCTCAGCCACCATTTCATCTTACAGGGGATATCTGAAGACATGAGCTTGGAGTTTTATCTAGTAACATATGATGATGTGGGGGGATTAGCCTGCTGGAGGGTTGGTGATTCTGTGGAGAAAGTCTCTGGTTATTTTCCAGTATTCTGGACTTCTAACACCACATTTATGGAGCCACCGTTCTCCAAAGATGAGCTTTTTCTATATAGCATGAGGGAACATGTTAGGTCTGTTGGCTCAGTTCTTTGCAACATGGATAGGGAGATTGTCTCCCGCATCATGTGCATTAACTGTAGTTATGACTTGGTTCTTCCTCACCTGGCTGGTTCTTCTGGCGATCCCAGAAACGTTGAGGGTAGGATATGGGAATATGAAGATGGAACTTTTGGGTTTGGGTTCTTAAGAAATGATTTTATTATTGACTTGAAGCAAGTTGCTCTAGATGGTTTAATTCTTGCTGAGGTTGAGTCTTTTAATCAAAATTCTGCTTCATAGTTTCATGTCTAGAACTAATTCTAGATGTGCTTGGTCATTGTTTCATGCAATTTGAAATAAGAGGGATGATGGTCAATAAAAATCCTATTTTTACAATTTTTGTGTTTTTGTTGCAAAATTAGTATCAATTTCTGTTTTCATTTTGCAAGCATGGGATCTTTCTTTTATGCCAAAATTCTGAAATTTAGTTTGGGAGAAGATGGTCAGTAGCTCCATGCATCCATCAAGCTAATTCTATTATTCAGTTTAGTTATGTCTGATCAAATTTCTATAATGCAAGCCTAATCAGTATTGTTAGATATGCTTCAAATTGCTTCAGCTTTTGTTGACATTAATTTTTGCCTTTTAAGGCCATTGAACTTTTTCAAAATGGGCTTTTTTAATTCAATATCTTCCTCACAAGAAAATTTCAAAAAAAAAAAGTTCCTATTGTTCTGTTAGTGGTATTACTCCCTTTTTCATCTTTGGTAGAACCTTCACAGTTTTGCAATTTTATCATGTTGGTCATTGAAATTGATGATTGTTCATAGTTGTGGATTTTATCATTATAGTTATTTTATTCACTAATTTCGCTGCCGGAACATGTTCTGATGCGATTCTTTTCGCTTGCCCGGATATTTTACTTGTGAATAATTGGCTTCCTGTGTATATATAGGGGCTGTTTAGCTGAATTAGGACTTAGTAAACCTACAGTCTTAGATATGATAAAACTTGGGAGGGTTAAAACCCAAAAATTGTTTGTTGTTTGGTTTTGTAACTGTTTATTTTTGCTAAATTTTGATATATTGTTGGAAGATTGACACACACCACTCAATTCTTATGTACTTATGTCTAACACCTCATCTTACCTATGCATAAAAGGGCGTATTTCACTTTTTAGAAGTTAAAAAATAGTGGTATTTTTTATGTGATATGAATGATCTGGGTTGTGTAAACGTTAAAAATGCAAAATTTAGGTGCTATATATATGTAAATACATAGGAATTGGGCGGTTTCTCTGTAAGTGTTGAGATTTAAATAGGATATCAAATTAGTAACATTTGAAGTTTCAAATTTATGTTTAGATAGATTTAAGCTTAACATTGTCTTTAGCGTGGCTAAATAGGACACTGAAAGCTGTAAGGTTTCAACACTGAACTTGTTGAAGCATTTCTCTATTGGGGCATTTACATATATAACGCTCAATTTCTTTATATTTACAATCTAACACCAAAACTTTACTTTTTATGTTGATTCCATCCATATCTCATCTCCTAAAGAGTGCAACTATTTTAACTTTTATAAAGCGAATTGAAGTTTATGTGCTACATATGTAAATACATAAGGATTGAGGGGTATGTATGTAAATCTTCCTTTTCTATTTCATATCAATAGCAGCACAGATGCGCTCAATGTTAATTCTCGAGTCACACATGTTTAATTCTTCCATGCTTTCATGATTGCAAATGCTGTTACTGCTGGAAGTCTTAAAGCGTTGTTTCAAGGTTGGATTTGTTGTTGAATTCCTTTTTATTATTTTGCTGCATCATCATCATCATTAAATTTCGCTCAGAAGTTTTGTAATCAAAATATTTTGCTATATGAATCTTAGTTTTGGGAAATATTGGAAATTTACATGCATACCACACAATTCCTATATATTTACATTTCTAACTCTCAAATTTTGATATTTACACTTGTAACACCACCCCTTGGTGTCTCGGAGGCAATGAAAATCTCTATTACACTTCTAAAAAGGTTGGTGTAACTTCAATGAGAGAGAAAATTAGAGAAAGTCGTTTTAGATGATGTAGTCACTTCGAACATCTGATAATACAATTAGGAGAGTATGTTTTAGATTCGACTTATCTTAAAAAAAGGATAGAGGTAGGGCTAAAAAAAAGCTCAGGCTTGGTGCATAAAAAATAATCTTAATTTGTTAGAATTGAATGAAAATTCAACAGGACACAATCAAAAAACATAAGTTTTTCATAGGGCCGTATAGATACATGCTACACAATTCTTATGCATTTATTTTTGTGACTTCTATATTTTCATGTTCAAACACACAACACTAAGGGTCTGTTTGGGGCAGCTGTTGATTATTTATAATCTGCTGATAAACAGATTATTCTGATAATCTGATAATCTGTATATTATCATAATAAACTGTCTTGCTGTTTGAGACAGCTTATTGAGAACAACTTACTGGGAGCTGTTGTTGAATAAATGACCATTCTGCCCATATTTGGTTAAGCAGTTATGATAAAACTGTTTATAGAAAATAATAGATAAACCATATGTCTTAAACTATTGCAATTCAGTTACAAAAAAATAAAATGCATTGTTCACCACTTCGTGAGTATCAAAATAAATAAAATAAAAAGAAATACAATTAAAATTACAAGTAAAATAATTAAAACGTTCAATTTAAAACTTTGACGTCGTTTGTCCTCAACGGCACTATCTTCTTGGGAAACCATTGTAACACTATCACTGTCGGCATGGGAGTATGTCGGAATGTCGGCCCAACGGAAAAAATCACATCTTGTTGAACACCTCTCTGACAACCGTAGAACTGTCTCCCACTGCTATGTAGCTGGCGTGACGTGAGAGGGAGCTGGTAGTCCGTAATAACACAACACAACTCGGGAGGTCCCTGGATTCTTAGAACTCATACTTTTACTGAGATAAAACAATCAAAAGATATAATTTGTCAGATCATAAAATTAAATTAAGCCTTATATATGGAAATAAAGGAAAATCCATACAAAAACTAAACAAAACAAGATAAAATAAAAACTAAACAAAACAAAATGCAAATTCATACTACAACGAATTACACCCCAAATGAAAGACAAAAAATTCTTAATAAAACCTTAAAATACAAATCCATACTACATTGAATTACATCTCAAAAGTACATATAATAAATAAATATGTGTGGTTGAATCAACATTCAGATATAGCATCTGCGATAGACTCCCTCAAACCAGCCATCTCGGCTACACCCACACCGTCTTGAGTTTCAAATTCAATCGAATCGATCTTATCCTCGGGTAATGTTTGACCAACGAAAGATCCTGAAGGTTCTGGAGAGTCAATAAGTTGATCATCATCAGTCAAAGTGAAGTCCGTATCTGATTGAGAGGGATGTCGTCAGATGAAGTTGTGAAGTGTCATAGTGGCCACCACAATATGCACCTGTTTGGGAAATGGATATGACGTGAACGTAGGACAACTCATTTCTTCTTCCACACCCCAAATGTTTTTTCAATAACCTCGGGTAAAGAGGAGTGTCGTTTGTTAAATATTTCTTTTCTGTCACGAATCGTGCCACTTGCTCACTCAAAATTAGGAATATGGTATCTGGAGCCTGGATAGGGCTTTAGGTAGCCCCTTAGCATCGGATATCCAGCATCAACCAAATAATATTTCCCTGTTATGAAAGATAATATTAATTAAAAATAATAAATGTAATTTATAGGTTTAAGTGAGATGAACAAACTTGGAGATGGGTGAGAGAAACACTGTGTTCTATTTCTAGTTGCATAGGAAAAAACACGACTGTCATGTGCACTTCCTTCCCATCCTGTCATTACAAATGTGAAACACATGTTGAACACATGTTGAAGTCACATGTTGAAGTCACACACTGTCATGACATTTGGGTAGTTGTACAACTCTGACTAATGTACACGATCTTTTCATAGCTTGGTAGTCGAGCATCCACATGCGTATCATCGATTGCTCCAATGCAGTTCTGTTATTCATAGTTAGCAATTAAGAAGTTATGAAGTTAAATTAACAAACTAATAAAACTTACTTTGAAATACGACATGTAACGAAGATCATTTGCAATTTGTTCGGGAATAGTTGCGAACGATGGATCCGTTGGTTTAATGTTTTGTGTTGCTTAGCTCACAAGTGCTTGTATACCTTTGGAGAAGTATCGACTAATTGTCTCTGAGGAATGTTGAAATCGCTCTATAGCTCTTCTAACTGATTCATTTTGTGAGAAAATGTATAATGTTATAGCCAACACCTCTCTCGTGGTCGTTCTAGAAGAACCTTGAAAGCTAGTTACGACATAAGCCGTGTTAAAGATCCATAAAAATGGGCGCAATCATTCGAAAAATGTTGATGAACCTTATCGGATGTCCAACAAGCATCTCACCCACTCATTTGTTCCCAACATATGAGGACATCATGTGTGGCATCCGTCTAGTGCTGGAGCGGTAGTATTCCAACAATAATATCGCTATAGTTGCAGCCCATGTTATTCTTTTATGACGTGTTGGATGTGGATCCATCCTGAAATTAGAAATGCATTATAATGAAATAATTTATGGAAATTTGATGACAGCAAAATGAAACGGTAAAAACATTAAAGAGTACAAAGCATCAGAAAATGAATTACATAAATTGTTCAGGACTACAAAGTATTAGGAAATGAAATACATAAAATGAAATACATCTAGTGACAACTTAATACAAAACAGACTCATTCTTCTACTAAAACGCGTGAATATTCAATGCACAGCTCAGGTCTTAGTCTCATAAACATTTGCCTACGAGTATGGTCCTCAAGTTTTTTAATACATTTTGCCTGAAAGCGCATATCAGCAGCTACTTCTGGAATAATATCTAAAATGACAACGCAGTCTCAAATGGTGTTATTTGGGGGAGGCGGAGCTGAAAAAGCAACAATTAGTTGATCAAATGAGTTTTTCATGAAACTATCCTTCTCTTTTTTCCTCCTGCCAAGTCTGGGCCTTTTGGACATGGAACTGGACTCTTCCATCTTCTTTTGGTTAATATTAGGCCCTTCTTCATCAGTTATAACCTGTTAAGGTGGTAAGTCATCTGGTATTCCTGCAAATCCCAACTCACTTGGGTTGAATGCATGTTTTACAGTCGCGACAACCCCCTTAAACATTATGTCTAGTTTTTCCTCGAACTCTGACTCAATTCCGTACTGACTATAATTTTTTGTTGTTGGCATGACCTGCAACATTGAATGGAATTAGAGGGGTTTAGGAATTAACCAAAAAATAATGGAATTAACAAAATAAGTTTGTATTTATTACCTCCAATCTTTCAGCCCACCATTCATCTGGAGCATCGATTGTTTGCTTAACGGGATCCCAACCCAATTCGGTAGATCCACGTTTCAGTTCCTTTCATATTTTTCATTCCTTCTTTAATTGGTCTCATGTGTTTTTGAATTTAAGTCTGTCGTAATCCCTTCCAGTCAATTCTTTGAACCTCTTAACAATATTTTGTTAACCGTCCTTATTAAAATACGTGATTGGTATGTTCCCTAGTTCAATTTCTTTGATACATATATCTCAAAAAATATTTGTTACTTCTTTATCTCACATTATAGACGGACCCCCTTCAGTCGCCTTAGACATGTTGAAACTATAGTGAACAAAGGAAAATAAGTACTCTCTAAATGTGTAGAAAAAAAACCCAACTTCATCTAGATTAATTCCACAACTTATAAAATAATCCTTTGCAATTTCAAAAAAGAATAAATTATAAATAAACACTGACAGACAACATCATTTCCACAACATTGCAATTTATATATATATATATATAAACGAGAGATTTATGTGGTTCGTCCAATGACATACATCCATAGAAGACAATCCACGAAAGTTTTATTAAGCAAACCTGTAAGATTACATAGCTATGAACCTTAATTGAAGTTCACTACAACATACTTTCAACTAAACAAGCTCTATACATAGCACAAATTCTTCCATCTTTTCACAAAAAAACAAGAACCGAAAACAGCTTCATCTGGTACTCAAACTGCAGCAATTACAACTGCAAAATATCGAATGCAACCCAGCAAGCAAATAAACTACAACATCTTTGTTTAGCTAAATCGCAAACTGAATTTTGTTCAGAAATCAAACTGTGCTTTATAACTATTAATAAAAAACATAACTTAAAAAATTTGTCTTTCAGATGATTGAAGCAAATAAACCCCAACATCTCTTCGAGAGGATTGAAAAAAACACAAGCTTACACCAAGGAAAATGAAAAAACCCCTTTTGTTCTTCATAGCCACAAGGGAAATGAAATTTATGTACTTCATATATGAGCTCTTTTATAGATGTTTTTCAACCTTAAAATGATAAAAGAACATAACTAGCAAAAATAAACCCCAACATCTCTTTTAAAGCTGTTTTTAAAAAACTTGTGCATATTTCTCAAATCAGGAAAAAAAAAATTCCCAAATTTCAAAAACTTGAGCTATTTTATGCAACAATGCCAAACTAATATTGCCAAATTTCATCGCATTCTGGCAAATGTGTTATAGAACTGACAAAATGAGGATGGCAATAACTACTACATCCCATAGAAAGGATGTCAACCCTCATTACAATCACTGCTACATCCCATAGGTGTGTACTTTTATTTTATATCACAATAACTACATGATAAGCCAATGAAGTTAGGGCATTGGAAAAGACAATAGATATATAGCTGATGAAGAAATAAAGTCATAATCTCCATTCCAAATCTTATATATTTACATATGCAAAGGCAAACATTATTGCACTATATATGTTGCATGGGAGGAGTTAAAGAATTTAACCCATCTACCTCAGGGAAATAAAATGGCATTCATTTCCTTCCAAGTAACCCACCATTCATCTCCTAAAACAAAAAAGTCTTCTCTTGTAAAATATTTTCAACTAGTAGAAGTTCTGCCCCCAATTCATTTTTACTTTGGACATAACTATGCTTGACATTCATGCTTCATTAATGCCAATAAAATATTTTCCACCAGCAGCATCATAATTCCATCACCCCTTAAAAATATAAAGCTTTGTGTTTGCATGCATATAAGCCAATTCCTATATATTCACATACCTAAAATCTGAAATTTTTTCTTAAAAACCCATTATACCAAACAAATCTTTCATATGACAGCACAGGCAACGATCACAGGGAGCTTGCGAAATTTCAGACGAATGATCATAGTAATACGTATGATCAAAAATTTCGTAAACAATTAAGTATGAAGAAATTGCACGAAGAAATCCCTGTAACACAAATGATCAAAAAGTTATGCCAGCAATAGCATTGCCCAACGCATCCCAGTAATAGCATTTCTCTACAGGGAAGAGGAGATACCTGCTAAAATTTCAAACAACTTTCAATCCACCAACCTAATACCAGACGGGAAATGGGAGAGCAGAGCGGTGCACAGGATCGAGGAGTCCGATTGCAGAGCCAGGGTAACGCAGTGACACGGGATCAAGGAGCAAAGCCGAGATCAGAGAAGTCTGATCGCAAATCTAGGGCAACGACGGTGAGACTGGATCAAAGGGCAGCCGAATAACAATCTGAGTAAACACTCAACGCATGGTAATGATAGCGGCGGACGAAAGAACGAATATTAACATAAACTCTTACGCGCGTTCTTTCACCGTCGGCCCCAACGCATTATCCAAACGCTACCCCGACATTCTGAAAACGTCAAACGCAGGGATAAGCTGCGCCAAACGGACCCTAAGTTTTTATTTATCACATAAAAAATGTTGTCATTATTTTTTTTTTCAACTTAAATATATATATTTTTAAGACACCAATGTGTCATAGATCTAAATATAAAAATTCAGATGCTAAATATATATATATATATATATATATATTTAATTGCTATGCGGTATGCTCCAAAACTAGGAATTGGGAAAAAGAATACCATAATCTTTAGGTGTTTATTACTCTTAGTATCTGCTTTTGTTGCATGTTCTGTTATTCATAATTTCAGTTGTTTTGTTGGTGAGTTCATTAGATTCTAATTGAACACAGTTTGTTGCACCATGCCAATATGCACGGTGGTGTGATACAATTCATACTCTCGTCCGAACATACAGTGCCAGGACGTAATATTTTCTCCTCGGAGGGATTCTTTTAATTGTCAATTTAATACAACAAATGATATGATAATATAAAAGGGGGCAAGGGCTTTTATATGGATTGTATGCATGTATTTGTGTATACATAACTTTCAGGTCACTTTTATATTCAAAAATAAATCATATTCAAATTAATAAGCCTAACACAAACAAGAAATTTTGAGCTCACTTTTTAAATGTGCCAAGCGGAGCAACATTTGATTCGACTCAAACTTAGCTCGTTTATGCGCCTAAATGTTGTGTACAAAAAAGAGGGGAAAAATTATAAATAGAACTAGAGCTGAAACATGCTACGTTGACTGACTTTGCCTTACAAACCCTCCTAACAAGATTCAGAAATAGATCTCCGAAATAACAGAAGTGCCCATACATTATATGGTGTCTTTTGGGCGTGGTGAATCGAGTTCACCACGCAATTGGAGTGTTGACCTTGACCAGAACGGCCATACATGTAGGTCATACCTTTGGAAGTAACAGGTACAAGACTTGTCTTTCAGAAGGCTTGATGATCTCGTTTGTCGAGTGTGACTGTGTTTATGCGAGCTTCTTCGATTGAACTCGCCAAAACTTGTTATTCATGAAAGCTTTTCAGACCGAGCTCGCCTGCATCCATCAAGCTACATTATCAAATTGGTTCCATCCTTGTCCGGGCCTATTTATCGACCACCTAATGTTTATGCCTAGAATTTTATCAACATCGAGTCTTAAAAGCCTCCATATTTATTTATTATTTGTAGCCCTATGATGGCAATTATATTCTAAGAGATACAAATAGGAGGAAAATGAAGAGGGCTCTCTCTATGCTCTTCTTCCTCACTGTCATCAATAACACAACACATTCTGAAAATCTCCAACCCACTTCTAGCTCCTTCACAAGATCTCTCATAAATTATATGAACTCACGAACAATACAAAACTCTACGTCTTAAAAGGATTCAACAACGATAAATGCTACTCATTATCAAAATATTTTTTAGGACTGTGAATCCATAGTGTAACTTTAATCTTATGTGATTATTTTTATTCATGCTGCGTGAGATTAATCTACACAACCTTCTATGGTGGCATGATCATAGAACCAACATCAGAAAGAAAATTTCAAATACACAAGAATATAGCAGTACTTAAAAAAGATTTTATTGAAAATTGGAATATGAATAAAGCATGCCAACATTCATAAATGAATACTCAACTCCCAATTCCAGATTGCAGCAGCAATTGTCTTCACATTCAATCCTGCATAATGCACATTGAGACGAAATCAATAACCAAAATTAGAATGATATCCTTAAAAATGAATAATAGAAAAAAATCATGCATATGTTTTTAATACTAAAGTGGTACAAATGCAAAAATTCAAACTATAGGGGTTGGATATGTAAATACATAAGAATTTTGTGGTATGCATGTAAACTTCCCATGGAAGAAAATTAGCTTCGGATGTTCTAATCAAATTTGGGTCAGGATGAATCTCAAAACTATTTGAGTGCAATAAAAAAATGGATTTGAGATTGGACCTAACCAAATTTTAGTGTAATATTCTAACCTAAAGTTGTTTCAGTTAAGAAATATCCTTCAAGATTTGCAATAGCTTCAAAGTAAAGCTACACAGCGTTACTTGAACAGTAGTATTTGCAGCATAACCCATCAAGAAGCATTTTACTGCACACTCACAAACACCCAACCCATCCACCCACAACAAAATCCTTTATGAGCAGACAGCTTACCTCTGATGTGTAATCTATATATATACTCAAACTTCAATCTTTACAAAAATGCCACATTACTTAAGCATGAAAAGGAGTATTTCACATTTTTTAAAGTTAAAATGGTGGTATTTAAGCGGTATGAATGTAAAAAAAATAAAGTTTAGGTGTATGAATGTATGTATGTCACCTAAACTTCAATATTTAGGTGCGTGTATTTGTGCGCATGTGTGTCTGTATGTACATCATATGTTTGTATGTGTGAGACCAACCAATCCTCATGTCAAGCGACAACCAATGACCCGTCCAAAGGGTATCGGGTTTAAAATTTCCATACAGCTGGTTCAGTGAAATTTGTCACACAAACCGTACGTGTAGTTACAGCTGCCCGAGCATCTGACCGGCAGCCCACACTACTCGGCCGGCCTACAAACAACGGTCACTCGGGTTATACATCTAGTTAAACGTCTTTTTTAAGCTCCCGGTCTTATTAATATCTATTCCTTAAAATACCCCATAATCCCTATTTAATGAGGGGTAAAGATGTAATTTTTTGGTCCCTTATTTATAAATAGGGGTTTATTTCGTGAATAAAAATTACGCATTTTCTACTGCTCATTACTGTGCTCTCTGCGTCTTTTACAACACTCAATTCTTTGGTTGCGTCTCCCGGACAATTTCGGATTCAACAATATAGATGCACACACACATAGAGAGACACATTTAAAGATAAGGGTATTTACGCACAGAGCACACAATTCTTGTGTATTTGCATATCTCATACCTAAACTTTCATATATACTCACGTAGCATTCAAATCTTTAATATCACATCAAAATTAGCACTATTATCACTTTTTAAAAGTGAAACACATCTTTTCATGTATAGAATTAAAATAATTGCTATGTATGTAAATGTGAAAGTTTAGGTGTGCGATGTAAATACATAAGAATTGTGTGTTGCGTATTAAAGATAACTTAACATTTCTAGGCGATTTAAAAGTGCATCAGAACACTTACCCTGAACCTTCGCATCCGCGCACCGTCATGGCCAGACCGAAGAGCCTTAGATTCGTAGTTTGAAGGTTCGGTTTGAACATTCCCAGATGATGCTTGAATCCTTTCCTGGCCTCTTGTGGGCTTCTGCGGTACATTTTTGAAAAAAATGTCTTTATCCCAAGTTACCTCATAATCTACATTCAGGCGTGAACCTTGCTGCATAATGTCAGAGTTGATTCTTGATTAATATCCAAAGATGGAAAAACGGACATTTACATACATACCACCTAACTCCTATGTATGTACATATCTAGCACTCAAAATTTATTTTTTTATATTTTTAGCAGTCAAAAGTTACATATCATGTAGAAAATACCACCAATTTTACCTTTTGAAAAGCGAAATATACCTTTTCACATATAGATAAAGTGGCATTTATCTAAATATTAAATTTTAGATATGTAAATACATAAGAATTGAGTGTTACGTATGTAAATCTCCAAATAAGAAACTATCTTCCATGGCTAACAAATAAAACAAGAAAAAATTACATTCATACCACACAATTCTTATGTATTTAGATACATATAGCACTTTGATCTCATAAGCATATGCATTAAAAGGTGTATTTCACTTTAAAAAATGTTAGTAATTGTGGTATTTTAAATACGATGCTAAAAAATGGAGTTATATATGCATGTAAATATGAAGGTTTAGGTGTTAAAAATATAAAAATACATAAGAATTGTGTGCATATATCAAAATGCCCCATGAAAAAAAAAACAAGGATAATTATAGAAACTAGAAAGAAAAAGAATTCATTTTTGAGATAAAACTATGACTTCTTGAATGACTTGTGGAGCAAAAAGGGCCTCTCATGTGACAAGCTCTTCATGGGCATATTCCAAACTTGATCGAGGATGGCAATGTTACAACAACTATTAGGGGATGTTACAACAACAAAGCTCTCACTATGTGGGGTCGACTACAAGAATCCTTTTTCTCCATTGTGTCCTATTTAGTGTCATATTTTCATTTAGTTCTAATAAATTAAGATCATTTTTTTATACAATAAGCCCTAGTCTTCCTAGGTTTACCTCCGCCTTTCTTAACATAAGTCGAATCTAAAACATCTACTCTCCAAATCGAATCATCAGATGGCCAACGTTTAATGTGGCCAAACCATCTAAGACGACTTTATCTAATTTTGTTCGTCAATGGGGCTACACCAACACTATCACAGATAAAATTATTTTGCATTTTGTCTCTAAGTGACTATAACGGTACACCCTAATGGTCTAAATTGCAGGGTATCCTAGTTCAAACAAAAAACATGACTATGATGGAGACCTAAATGAAAAAAAAATGTTAACTAGGGGGCCTATAGAGTGTTTTTAAAATTGTAGACACATGTAATACACAGTTTATAACTCAATTACCTTAGTGATATTTACCCTAATTGTTTTATAGCTTTTCGAATTGCCCAATGAATCGATTCCTTTCGTATACTTAAAATACAAATGTCATGATTTTACAAAAAATTACACAGCCTAAGTTATTGGGTCATTAAAAATTGAATCAGAAGTTCAAAAAGGAGTTCTTTTAGAAAAGTTATACTTTTTAATACACGTTAGAATTTTAAAAGAAATTTTTGTGGACAAAATCAATCTTAATAATGCTTTAATGAATATTCATTTAAAAACAAACAAAATGTCTATAGCTGTTATGGCTCTTAATTAAGGCTAATGGCATACTTGTAATTTTCATACCTCTTAGAAGGCCTCATCTACTTATAAATAGATGAGGGGTCTTGTGGGGAGTTTAGGCTATCATAAGGAGATAGAAAAATCTGATCAAGAAGATCAAGAGGAGGAAGAAAATTCAGCAATGAGAGGAAGAAGTGGAGAGGCTTTAGAATTGAGGGAGAGGTCTTGTAGAGAGAGAGAGATCTAGAGAGACATGGTGATTCCTCGATGTAATGAGCCTGTAATTCTTCTTTTGTCATAGTGAATTTGGTAGCGATTCTCTCCGTGGATGTAAGTCTAAAGACTGAACCACAATTACAACAGGGAGTTTGCGACAGGGAGAAATTAGCCTGCAGGCGTTCGAACAGGCTGCAAGGCTTAGCGGCATTTCGGCCAGGAGGATTCGCGTGACAAGAGTATTGTTCACGATCGAGAACGAGAGGGTCGCGGCTCGGAATCCTTCCGCGATAGGAAGTTCGCACGAGGCAGCAGAGGCTTCTGGACACCAGAGGAGTTCACGGCTTGGATCACAACAGAGTTCGACGGTCAAGGGTTTCTATACTCCAGACCGCAAGAACGACAGAGAGGGTTCGGCTAAGGAGGTGTTCCGTTGTTTAAAACTAACAGCCATTCCTTCGACAATTTCTTGAAAGTGAAGCAAACTTTTATTTGACAATTCAAGTATTAAGTTCTTAATCATCTAACTCAATACATAGAGAGTTCCCTAAAAGGTTTTTCTTTCAGGTGTTCTTGGAACTTGGCGATAAGGATTCTTGACGATGCAAGATTTCACAACAATAGCATTAAAGAACCTTTTACATGTTTCTAAGAATATAACATAATTTTAAAAAATATGTACACTTAGTACTTGTGCATCATTACAGAAGGCATCAATATGAAAAACAAATTTCATTTTTCTGTGGCAAGATTGTAGAAAAGTGAAGGAAACAAAATTCAAAACAACAAGAAAATATTGCAACGAAACTCTTATGCTACTAATAAAATTTTAATGTTTCCATTTTAATTATTTATAGCATGTTACAAAGTTGAGCTATATAACAGGCCACTAGCAAAAAAAGACTTGCTCATAACAACAAAAGCCTAATAAACTTCAGATGAGAATGAACTCGAATAGTTATTTCTACGCACACTTACTTCAGATTATGGATTGAAGTAAATTTAAGTTCCCCTGAAACTAAAATTCAAACAGAAAGGCAGATTAAAGTCTAAATAAATGGGAATAAAAGATTGAGAGAAAGCTATTTAAATAGTCGTTAGCATTAATGAAGTAGAAGTGTAGAGAGATATCTACTTTTTTGGTGGTTGCTCTCATGTGTGTGTTAGGCGGGGAATGTGCTAAAGAATCCAGATGAGAATGAACTAAGTACTTTCAAGTCACATAGACAGTGAGCTTGAAAATCTAAATAGAAGGAAATAAAAGACCATCATGTAAATGCTCAAGAACTTGATTTTATATGCCTACAAATAAGATAATGATCATCATTTAAAGCAACCCTGGTTTAGTATAAGTTTTAGCATGATTGAAACTGAAGTTTAGAAAGAAAAATTCCTTTTTGGTAAGTTCTCTTATCTGTGAGATTAATGGGGGATGCGCAAAAGAATCAAGCTGGAGAACTTCTAACAACTAGTAAAACGAGGAGGTAACATAATCTAAGGTTAATTTTATAAGGACAAGTAGCGCTTATACAACTCACCTTCTGCATTGAGCGTCCACAAAGCACCCTCATTGCATTACTGAATTCATCATGATTCTCGAATTGAACCCAAACCTTGCATTGAAGTCCAGGCACAACATCGCCAACAGTTGCTTCTGCATTCTCACCAATGTCATCACCACCAACAACATAAAGATTCCTATTTGAAGCATTTTAAGGATGTCACAGGAGGATAGAAATTTTTCATGATACAAATTGGTGAGCAAACCATCTTTTAATCAATTTTTGTATTTTATGCATTGTTTATAAAAAATCTAAGTACAACGTACTCTTCAAGCGTTAAACAAAACCATGCTGAAGTAACTTTAATGCAAGACCATATTTATATGTCATATTAACCTTGGCCTCATATGGACACACATACAGTGGAGTAGATCCTTTGAAAAATGCACGGTCCAAAATACATTTTTTTTGCACTGATATGAGTAAATAAGCAAATTAGTCAAGATTATTTTTGGTAATATTCTATTTCATAGTTTTAATTTTTTTAGATTATTTAATAATAAGTCAAAAGAAAAGTAATCTATATTTAATGATATTTGTATGCTTATTTGATTGTTTTTTAAAGCAATGCACTCATTCATCTATTATAAATAGAACAATACTCTAGTGAATAATATGCACACAAAAAAAAAAAAAAAAAAATCCTTTAACATGTTACATGAAGAAGGTCAATCTAAACCAAGCCATTGCCTCCATGCGTCCAAGCCATTCATCACAAACAGTTGTCTACAATTAAGACCTTATTTTCTCTTTCGATCATTTCACACCCAACAAGTTAAGCCCACCATGACCACGCCTTCAGATCAAACTCAAGCCTCCCCCTTTGTTTGCGCCATCACCTATATCGACATCCCAAGCCCATGGCTGAATCTGGGTGAAGGTATCATTTCCACAAGTCATTGTTACCACCGCCATTGCATGCATGTTCAATCACATGCCACATCTCATACTATGGTTGTTGTGCTCACCATCACCACCTGACCCTTAAAGCACATCACTTCTACAACAAGAACTATGCATCCTCTTTACCAAAATCTATGATTGCTTAAACTCCCCCTTTTGTTCTCATTATTCTTAGTATATTTGCATATGTATCCTCTTTACTCTCCCCGAACCCCAATCTACAAATGGTATATCTATGATACCCAATTATGTAAATTATTATTTGTAAACAAAATTTATATTTTCTTATGGGAGCTCATAAAAATTAAATCATCTACACAAGGAATCATCTTGAAACTTTGTCTCCTTCATCGGCATAATCAAACAATCATGAACATTCCAAAAACTTCTTTAGGACAATAAAGGAACAAACAACCTATGAAATTTGCATGCAAATGGTCAAAGATCTCGATGAGGTAAATTATACAAGGCCAAAATTGCACGATATTGAGTTTGTTAAGGCAATAAAAGGTCTAAAGGAATCAACTAAGGTTTTTTTAGATCACCAAATTGAGCATCCAAAATTTGTTAGAGAAAAGAAAATTGCTCCCTCCTAAAATTCATAATCATATCATATTTTATACATTCATATGAGGATTTTCATCGCAATGAAATTTAGAATTCAAAGGGAATTCCAGTGTTGTACCTAACATGACATGTTACTAGCCATAAAAAAACATTGAAGCTTGTTTTCATCCACCGCACAATGCTAATCATCAAATGCCCATCATAATCTATCACCCGACAATAGCCATTGATAAAAGTTGATGTTATTAGCCAACAACCAACGAAATTTGATGCCGTTGTCAACTGCCACGACAACAAGCCGACGACAAATTGTCACTTGACTTCCAACATTTCATAACAATAATTATCCAAAATTTGCTAAGGACTAATGTTTGTTGATAATAGATAGAGGTTTTCTCAGTCACCTCTTCACCCCACATATCATGAAAATTCCAGTGTTGTCACCTCAGCCAAAAACTCCCAGTGAATAAATTGAGCTCTTTCCACACCCTGAACCCCTAAAAAAAAAATATAGTTCTTCAATTGATTAAAGAGCGTACCTTATATTTCCAAGAACGGAAAAGATGGTATGCGTATTCAGCATGGAAGGCTTCGAAGACACCCTTGGCTCTGCAAACCACCTTGAAGGAACTCCTTGTACAATGATCGTATCAGGCCTCCGAGCCACTCCCTTGGAATAGCCCCCTACAGTTAAAATCCCTTTTCAAAAAGAGTAAAAACCACTAATGAAATGTTATATATTTCAAGCAATCAGAACTGCTAAAAAGTAATGTTTATTACGGCCGTCAAGCAGCTGCGAAGCATAATAATCCTCCCATAACCTCTTCATCGCCTCGTAGTCATCGGAAGGGGGAACATCGACGGTCATTCGAAATTTGACGCCCTCCAGATTCAGCTCGATCCCGCTCAAACGATCCAAGACAGAAGCCCTCCAATCCAAAAACTTCTTCTCAATTACCTTATCCGTATCATCGTCATCGTCTCCTCGCCTTTTGTGTTTGAGAAACCCAAGATCGCGGATGTAGAGAGTTCCCGATGCAACGGGTTCGTCGCGCTTGCGCTTGTGAAGATCAAGACGCTTTCGTATGACGAGGTCGTCTTCGGGTACTGTGAGGGAGAAAAAGGAACGGATGAAGTCGATGAGGGAGAGCTTTAGCTGCCACTCGTCGACGGGCTTCACTGCGGGATCGGAGCGGAAGAAAGTGAGGATGAGCTTCAGACGCGGAGCGAGCGAGAGGCCGTAGCCGATGTCTAGGGTTTCGGTGGGCGGGAGGGAACGCAGTGGCCGCCGGCGAGAGGCTGTAGAGTGCATGGGGCTTAGCAGCGGTCTAGGACTCGGTCAACGAGGCTGTGTGATTCTAACAGTCTGTGTGTTAAACCAATATCCTACGTGCATTATTTTAAAAAAATAACGAGTTATTTATTAGTTTGTGTTGATATTGAAATTTTCCCCTCATTATTTGATTTGAGGTTGTGTTATTCAACATATTTTCCGTATTATTTTAATTTATATTGTGTTAATGAAATAACAAAGCCCCAAATCAAGTAACGCGGAGGAATATCTCAATAACACCTCATTTTCTACAAATAACACTAATGAAATATTTCTATAATACAACGGGACATTCCTATAACACAACGACTATTGCAATCTAAACGTAGCTCTACGTTCGAAGTCCTGACTTAATGTTTTCCTAATTCATTAAACCATATAAAATTTTGAAAAATACGCGGTTTTATTGCAAATTTTGCAATAAACTTTTGCATCACAACATTTATAGGGGCATCTATCTACATGAATCTCATACACCTGACACTTAAAATTTTATTTTTTATATTTATACAGTCAAAAGCTTTCTCATTGCATAAAATTATCTTAATTTTAACTTAAACATAGAATATAATTTTTCATGCATAAATAAGATGATATGTAAATAAAAATTGAAGTTTGGGTTAGATGTATAAATACATTGAGAATTAAGTGATATAAATATAAATCTTCCTAAGCTTTAATATATAGAGAAAGTTACATGTATACCACACAATTCTTGTGTATTTACATATCTAATACCCAAAATTTGATATTTATATTTAAAATACTTTGAGATTATAAATCTACATATGAAAAAATGTATATTTTTTTTTTAAGAAATTGATTAAAAGTTTTTTTCTTAGATTAAAGACTTAAGGTGTTATGGAAGTACATAGGAAAGTGTGGGTGTTAATGAAAATATAAAATTATGTTGTATGTATGTAAATGCCACATTTATATGAGAAAATATTGTGTCGGGGTCCGGACGTAGTTTTGTGTTTGGTCTACAGCAAGATCACGCTGCCTGTAAAGCGGTTGATCCCATTTTTGTTATCTTTAAAAAATATTAAAAAAAAAATTCGTATGACCCGGCCCGAAGACCACTCGTATAGTTCGAACAAAAAACAAGCAATGTTCAGAATTTGACACTATTCATAACAACGTGCAGTTCATTATCTTTTTCTCCGTTAGGGTTCTTCATGCTTGTAAAATTTAGGTTATATTCCTCTGCTACTTTGAAAAACACCACAACGTAATTTTGAAGATAGAGTACGAAGATTTTGGTGACAATAATGAAACGGAAGTGAGTTTCACTACTTTTAAAATGATAACATTCATTAAGGTTTGTTTGATATGTTTCAATTAATTGATTTTGTTCGTATTTTCATTTAACACATTCATTAAGGTTTGTTTGATATGTTTCAATTAATTGATTTTGTTCGTATTTTCATTTAACACAACTTCTGGTATAAATATCTATTTTTTTACCCAAACCTAATATTTTTATAATTTTTGAAAAAAAAAAAAAATATATATATATATATATATATATATATATATATAATAGTGAAAAAATGCAAACCCAATTTGCTCAAGGGCAACAATAACAAGTTCATTTGTTTCTTTCACGGGAGGAGCAACTGTTTGATTCATTTATGAGAAAAGACAAACTAGATAAAAGATAAATTATGATCACAATACAAAAGAAAAGAAAACCACCATAAAACTACTTCAATACCACCAAAATAATTCCAAAATTCAACCATAATGGGACCGCAATATAACCTTAATATAAAGATAATATTATATTGATTTCACTAGAGTACAATAATAATATCAATGTAATGTCACATTAATATCACAATAATACAATCAGAATATCATCATAATATCATCAAATATTACAAGAACGCCGCATAAACATCACTTGAATACCACGAGAATTGCACCATGATACAACCATAATACCCCAATAATTATCAAAATAAAACAACAATAATGCTACCTGAATACCATAGAAATTACATCATAATACCACCAGTGTCATCATAATACCACAATAATTACTAATATAATACTGCAATAATATCTTTAGAATACCATCACAATACCACTAAAATAGGAACCTTGTTCCCCTCCTCGAGCACCAAAAGTCTAGTTCTTTTGGTTCATCTTTCTTTTCTTCATAGACTGAAGTATATTTAGCTGTATTTGTTGCTTCCCTAGTTTCCTCTCCTTCTACCACCTTATCTTCTTACTCGACTATGGTGACCTATGTTTTTCTATTATTAATTGGAAATTCTGTGTAAGGGGATTCTAATTTCTTATTCTTCCGCTTTGTCTTAATTTTACTCGTCGGACCATACTGCTCAGATAAGATTTGTATAATGATTTTTGCTTTCTCTCGATATTTGATATTTTTTATCTAATTGATTAATTTTTATTTTGCAACTTATTTATTCGATGAACCTGACTTCTAAATTTATATTTGGAGTTGGGGGCTTAACTAGAGTGTGAGGACTAGATGGTGCAACATTCTTTGTAGCAAATAGTGCAAGGGGTGTGTATGGAGTGGAGATGTTAAAATAAGCCATGAGAGGACTAGATGCCGAGCTCCTTAACCCGTGGGTTATTGGAGAAATAAGTAATTCTCCGTCACTCATTAAATCAACAAAAGAATCAAAAACCTGAAACAAACAAAAAAACCAAATTATCAATTTGTGCAAACAAATGTAATATCACCCAAATATTTTTTTTGGAAAAGGGGTTCAAATTTTAATTACATGTTCTGACGTTAGTCTAAAGAAAAAAAATATCCATTATCTTCGTACTTCATGGCCTCATTTTAGACTACCCAAACATGTTAGGCTTTGCTTTAGGTGAGGTTGGAATGAGGATGAATATGTGCTCGTAAAATCAAAGCTGTAAAAAAAAAAAATTCATTAGGCCGCTTGCCTTATAAAAAATTAAAATATTGTTGTTATATCAGTCATACTAATCGTTAAAAATAAAACAAAGTCATTCATGTACCCAAGGGTCTGATTACACCTTATTTTCCAAACAATGACATCAAATTACTAAAATTGAAAACTATAAATGACCGCTGGCCAGTTGAAGGAAGAGAAACTGTTTGCATTATCCCTAAAACTATATGAACCACTTGATATATTATAATTGCTTGATGGAAAAAATAAGGCTCGCCAAAAAAAAAAAAACTTTATTTACAACTCTACAAAGGGCGTTGAATATTGTATTGAAATAACTGTCAGCAAGTCAGCCTTTATTTGAATGAAATTTACAGTTGATATGAGAAATTTCTCCCACTGCACAACTTTTCCACAATTCAACATGCTAATAAGTAGTGCCACCTTGTTTGAATTGAAGCTCAAGGCTTTGCCACCCATTCTAAAAACCTTATGATCAGTATCCTAATATTTCAAAATTTGGAGGGTTAGTGAATTTTCCAGTTGGTAAGGTAGCATATGAAAGAATTGAATAAGATGTAAATCTTTAAGAAAAATTTTAGTTTCCTCATTAATTTGACCAAATACTGCATCATAAATAGAATTAACAACCGAAGGCTTGCATCTGGATGTCCATATTCTTGGGTTCATGACACAGCAAGAGTATTATATAGTAAGAGAATAAACATTAGGTGAGGAAATTTAACATAACAAATGTTTTCTTTAGTCAAATAAATCGAACAATGTCATCATAATATCGGTAATAAAACCACCATAATGCTACTAGAATATCATCATAAATACCATCAAAATACCACTCAAATACCACAAGTATATCATTGAATACCACAAGACTACCACTATAATACCACCAATAAACCAACAAAATACCACTGATAAAATACAAAAAAAAACCACCAACTACCGTAATACCACAAAAAAAATCACAAAAAAGCCAAAAAATACCAGTAAAATACAAGTACAATAACATCATAATACCAGAAGAATACTACTATAATACAACAAAAAATATGCAGTGATATTCTGGTGATATTTTGGATTTTTGGTATTCTGGTGATATTCTGATAGCATTCTAGTAGTGTTCTGGTGGTATTATGGTGATGAAATCTGATGAAAATTTTTGTGATATTATGTAGGTATTATAATGGTGTTGTCGTGGTATTCTGATAGTTTTTAGGTTGTTTTTGCGATTTTTATTGTGATTTTCTTACGGTGTTCTGGTAATGATCTTGTATATTTAAGTTGTAAAGTGATGTTAAATATTTTGACAATATGGTGGTGTTGTGATGCATTCTTTTCTTAATAATGTATAATTGATATTTTGGTGGTATTGTTTCCTATGTGATATTTGTGTTTCTTCAGTTAGTGATAATCAATTTGAATTATGGTGGTATTCTAGTTCTCTTATGGTGTTAATGCGTTTTTTTTTTATGGTGGAATTGAGGTTTTAGTGTGATGATATTAAAGTTATATTGTGCTATTAATATAATAACATTATGGTGCTTCAAGATGGTATATAGAGGTACTTGCAAATAGTTTTTACATTGACTGTTCTCTGAATGCTCGTTAATGATATTTTTTGTTTTTCTAACACAACATTTAAGCCACCCAAAATAAAATACATTGCTTCAATATTATAAAGTCAGTAATGCATATGATTGTAATGAGATACTTGCAATTGTTACATTGAACAAATGTGACAAATAAAGATTTACATTGAACAAATGAGTCTGAAAAAAAATATTTCACTAAGCGAAATTTTACATTGAACAAATGACCACAAATGAATAATTAAAATTCTCAGTCAAAAAATAGATTGGTCCTAAACCTTAAATAAATAAAATTGACTTATTTTACCTGTTTACGTTCTTGGTTTCTTATTTTTTTTGTTATTTTTTCTTCATGGTATCCATTAGAGTTAACGTAGAAACCTAAGCATTGTATATTGAACAACAAAATTAGTTTGGAAGATTTTACAACCAAAAATAGCTAGAAACATATCGAAATGTTGTTAGGCGGAGTCCAGAGTCCCTCTGTTCAAGTGGGTGTCGAAATGCCGGTGTCGGATTGTCAGTGTCAAAATCCCAACGACGAAACGCTAAAACCTCTGACACGCTTCCAAGTTTGGTGGCGAATAAGTTTAAAGCTCAGCCACCCTAAAACTAGTCTGGTTTCGAAAACAGTAAACGCCCGTGGTCACATCGAGCAAGAGAACCCTAAACCGCAAAATCACAACTGATGACCTGTAAAAAATGAATATGAATGGACAACACAAGTTTTTTTCAAATTACTTCTGCGGTCTTCAGGAGAGGTCGCACTGAGAAACACATTGTTAATATTTTTTTAAGATGGCGAAAATGAGGCCCCATGATTTACAGATGACGCGGCCTTATTAGAGTTGTGATGCAAAACTGTTTCCGGACTCCAGACCCAATATTTTCTCGACTTATATATCTAATACTATTTGGATATATGACCTCCTATTATTTTACATCAATGAGACAACCTCTTAGTCTTCCATTAAAAAAATCATAAACAAAAGATAAAAGCAAAAAACTTTTCAAAAGTGAAATACCTAATGTTTGTAAGAAAATTCAAGTTCATTAGATACTTGAAAACACAGATTTGAGTGGAATGTATCTAAAACCAACAAAAAGATTATGTGGTATAAGTTTAATTTTCCTTTTTATCTCAATAATGACACTTCCCTCTCTCATCTCCAATCTCAGAGCGCACTCCACGCTCTCGAAGCCGCCATGGATGCATTTCCGGCAGCTTTCTCCGGCGGCTTTGCCTCCCTTCCTCCCAGTTCCAATGGAAAAGTCTTAGAACCCGATACAGAAGTCATAAAGCAGCGTCTTATCCGCAAAGGCGTCGTCCCGACCCCCAAAATTCTCCATACCCTACGCAAGAAGGAGATCCAGAAATACATGCGCCGTACAAAGAAGCTAAACCAGCGAAAATCTACTCTCACCGAGGTTCAAATGAGAGCGTTGGAGGAGGACACACTCTTCCGCAAAGCTAAAGCTGAGTACCGCGTCGTCATGGCCGAAGTAGACAGTAGACGGGAACCCGTTGGGAGGCCGTGGAAACGAGCGAGCTGTGTTGATATAATGAAGCTTGGAAGCGAAGCAGATGGGTTTTTGGAGAAGAAGCTAAAGGTTGAGCACTTGGAGGAGCTAAGGAAGGTGTTTGTAGAAAGGAATGCAGAAATATTGAGGGGTTTTATCGATGACGCAGACGTGGAGAGTTTTGAGAATGGTGTGAAGCAGAGTAGCATGAATGGCATGAAACGGAGGGAATCTATAGAACGGATGAGCGATGATGAGAAGATTCAGCTGTTGGCCAGAAGGTATATTGCTCTGTTTTTAGTTTTTTCATGCTTTTTTTTGGCGGTGATGTGTATGGATTGTTACTCTAGTAACTCTGTTATTCTTCATCAATCATACAACTAGTTATGTAATTGGTGGGTGATTGATGTTTCACAACTAGCACCACGACATGATTTATAAAAGGGATAATTACCATAATTAGCATTTGAAACTTTGCCATTTACAAAATCTAACACCCGGGTGATATTTTTGAACTTCTGAACCGATCTATTTATGTGTGCCACCATTGAGAGCTTGATAAAAATGAAAAATATGGGTTGGGTTTTATCATGAATTTTGATGTTTTAGTGAGAATTTGAAAATTAATGAATAAGGGTGCTAGATTTGTAATTAGCAATGTTTTGGGTGCTATGTATGTAATTGCCCCTTTATAAAAATTTTCCGTTTTGGTTAATTAATGACTTTATTAATTAAAACATTGATTAATTGATTATTATTAAATTTTACCACACAACCTCTAAATAGGATCAGTATGTGTTGTTGACACTAGGGTTTTTTTTTTTAAATAATAGATCATGGCACCAATAGTTTAATGATTGATTGCAATACAATTAGTAAATAACCCCCATTGTCTAAACTATTATTTTCAATCATGTATTCGGAAAGTTATCCTCCTTTTATCTCTTATTTTCAATATACTAATAAGGTGAGAATGGGGGGTTGGGTTTGAGATTTATTTATTTATTTTTATCACATTTATGTTTGTATTTAGGCTGTGTGGGGTGGGGTGGGGTGGGGTGATTGCTAGAAACTTGCTTTGTTCGGTCAACCGAGAAGAAACGAGGGTGATTCAACTAGAGAGATACGATAAACTATTATGTTGTAGTTACTTTGAGATTATAGAGAAGCGGTGATAGAAAAAAAAAACATGAATTTATAATTGTTTGATATATAGACCTTAGTCCACTCTTAGAGAGAGTAAGTCAAATATCCAACCACGACAACTGATTATTACAACAAAGATATTCCAGAGTGTTTACAGAGCTTTTCCGAAGAGCGTTTAGAGAAATAGAGAAGAGGAGGAATTAAATTACGACAGGGGGAGTCACTTACACCTAATAGGAATGTACATAAAAAAATAATTGCATTAGATAATAAGAAGAGAATGGAAGACTCCAGGACACTTGGTCTTTAATCATGGTTTAACTAAGAATCCGTATAGACTTCAAGAAATCTTCTAAATTTAGTCACCAAACTTTCATGAGGACTCTAATGCTATTGATGAGAAAAGGGAATCCTCAGAAAGCCATGATTAGAATTGCAACTGAGGTGATAAGAAGAAAGTTTGGGGAGTAATCACAGAGTCTAGTGCCTATGTTTCGTTGCCATTGATTCATTCTTGTAATAGTCATTTATAGCTTTGAGGGACTTTTAGTACATAGATTTTTAATGATTTTGAGCTAATATAGTTATAATGATAGCACAGAGTAGGTCCTGTGCTACTTTAATGAGTTGCGTCTAGTCCCGATGTGCACTTCTGCTTGATGACATGAATCAAGGATTTGAATATGTTCGTGTGACATGACAATCCAATAAGATTGTAGTTCAACTGGGGTTGTGGGTGTTTTGAGATAGAGTAGAGGATGAAGACTGAATATTTTCATAATTCTGACATATTTAGGCACTATTGTGGTGGTGAACAAGCTAAGGAGTAGACATGATTCTTGATGTCACAATAAGAGCATTGTACAAGTTCACAAACAAGTTTTAATTGGGGTTAATTTGGGAGGACTTGCCGATTGATTTTATAGAGGGGTTGCCACAATCAAAAGAGTCTGCCGTGTTATTTGTGGTAGTGGATCGCATAAGCAATTACAGACACTTCATTCCACCGTGACACGCATAGACTATTGTCTCAGCCTCTACTATGTTCATACGAGAAATGATTCGTTTGCATGGTATTCCAGAATCCATTGTATCAGACAGTAAAAGGTGTTCCTTAACCATTTATGGAAAGAACTGTTCAGATTATGAGGGGTAGCCCTAAAGATGAGTAAAATATATTATCTCTTGATAGAAGAGGTGGCCAACATGAGTGTGGAGACGTGCCGGTGTTGTTTTGTATTGATACATCGAAAATTTGGGCAAGGTGGATTGCTTAGGCCAAGTATTGGTACTACTCTTTATACCATACTACAACGCATGCCACTCTTTTCAAAATTTTGTATGGGCGGGATCCACCTCATCTGATACACGTTATGACACGTTATGGGCATAGCACTAAACCGATATCCATTGTAAACCATTACTTGGAGGAATGAGACAGGATATTCACAGAGCTAAAGAGACATCTGTTAAGGGACCAACAGATCACAAAGAGGAAAACTGATGGACCTAGAAGAGAGATACAGTTTGAGCCTGTGGATATGGTTTATTTGAGATTGAGACCTTAGATACTTGCCAGGAGGAGGAGCAAGAAGCTTTCTCCATGATATTTTGGATCCTATGATATTGTGGGATGCATTGAGGTAGTGACATACCATCTGAGGTTACTACCATCATCATTGCATCTAATATTTAATATATCACAACTGAGGCGTGCCATCGAAGACCACACACCCTCATCTTTATTACCTTTGACGCTGACAGAGGACATGGAGGTGCTTTTGAAACCTTTAGAGGTAAAAGGAGGCATCGAGGAGATACTGAGGTAAATAAGGTGCTGATTAAGTGGAAAAAATCTATCAAATTATGAAGTAACTTGGGAGCCTTATGAGGTTATTTAAAAACAATTTCCATCATTCTATCTTGAGAACAAGGTGCTTCTTTTGTAATGGAGTATTGTAAGCCGGTCCCTCCTAGACTGACCCAACCTACGAGGGCAAAAATTGGGGTTTATGCATGAGAGGATACCGACCCCTTGGTGAGGCCTGTTAAGCACCTGATCACTTATGCGATGGGAGGAATTAGGGGAGTTTTGGGGGGAAGTTTGAATATTTTGGGCGGAAAGTTTGGATGTGTTTTGGGGTGTTTTATTAGGGATAATAAGCTGGGGTTTGCTGTCATGTTTTGGATTCCTGCAGTTTTCTTTTTCTCTTCTTGTTTCTAGCGGCGTCTAGGGATTGTGGAGAGTTGATTTACATCTTGGATTGTAGATCACCTATTGTATCTTATTTTTTTACTCGGAAATTAGTCAAATTAGCCATAATTTAGATTTTCCCACATATTTCTTGCAATTTGTCTGTTGATTTTGGCTCTGATTCACGCCACACTGCTATAGTAATCCAGTACAAAAAATTGTTACAATTACTGCTGCATTAACATTACTACAATAACAAAGTTGCTGTATTTTGCTATTGCCCTTTTATCATATTCTTTTCAACTTATTGTCATGTCAATTGCCTGCAACAAAACACAACAAAAATGAAAGTTACCATAAAATGTACATAGAAATACACCTTGTTTTTATGCATTTTGAACACTTAAACAGGAGGCGGCGCGTAATTTTAGCATTCATTGGAAAATTAGTGAATGCTTGATATCAACATTGAAAAATAAACATTTACAATCAGTGGAACACTATGCTACTATTCCAACTCATAGGAAAAGACTAACTTTTGGTAACAAACTCTATGGTGTAAGCGTTCTAAGGGCATGCTCCTTGTTTTTTTGATATACTGCCAAGCATAATTGCTTATGCTTGCTATTGTGTTCATAACAAACATAACCTCACCACAGTAATTTGCACAAAACATGTTGGAAGTTTTTGCTTATTTACTTTGTTCAAAAACTTAAAATTGCTACCACATTAGGTATAAGTTTCTCATGTTACATAGGAATCTGCTAATGCTGATACCATATGAGATTGCCAATTGAATATTTTTGCTGAAGCTATCGCATGAAGCATACTTTGACATGCATAACAAATCTATGTCGAATCTAATATCATTTGAGTTGTAGGAATGGACATGGTTCTCATACATAGACTTGGAAGCTTTTGTTAAGGATACATTTCATGACAGTTTAAGGGTATACTATTACATAATCTATAGTAAAGTTCCGATCATTCAATTCAAATATGAATAAATTTTAGTCTTATTCATGGTAATCTTATATAAAGACATCAACATGTGGTTCTATTATCAAAGATATATTGGTTAAGATGTCTCTTGTTCTAGTGAATGTGGGCATATTTCTTATTTTCTTTATCTTGAATTTTTTCAGTTGATTTAGAAAGAAAAAAAGAAGAGAAGGAAAAACAAATAAAGTGCATAATACAATTCATCAAATCAAGTGGAATTTTGTGTTAGGGATATGATCATTCTTGGGCTGCAACTTAATATATTAAACTTTTGGAATGTTTGTTTCTTAAGTCATGTTTTGTTCCAATATGGTTCTTGCTTCTCCATCTATAGCTCTGATTTATTTCAGAATTAGGGACCAAGCGATGTTGATCCATTTGTGCTCGCCCTTGCTAGAGTCACGATCATCAGTGCCTCATCAACAGGAGGGGCACTTTCCATGAATTCGTTTGTAATTGGTGTAGAAAATATAATCGTGAGTGACGACAAGCTGGTGGATGGGGTTTGCACATATTCTTCATTAAATGGGCAAAAATAAGAAAAAGATTCGTTACTTTTTTTCTTAAAGAAATGTTTGGCAAATTGAGTGGTGTTTTCAAATTATGATGGAGGCTTTTGTTCCATGTCATCTTTGTTTTTCTTTTTATATTTTTTCTCTGATAATTCTTATTAATTGTCCACATTGTACTAATATCATCTTGTTGTTATAAAGTTATAAAAATACCTGCATTAAAGTTAGTCAACCTGCACTTATATTTTATTTTCCTTCATCTTTAATTACTTGTTCTGAACTCCCAGAGCCAGCGGAAATCTCTATTATTTTTCTTGATTGGTTGTGATAAAAAGGGCAACATTCGATGAATCAATTTTTACAGACTAAGCAGTACAAATCTAAGCATACAAGACTGGAAGTTCTCAAGGTTGATGAAGTATTCAGGGCTATTGTTTAGTGAGATGTGCATGCTTGAAATTTTGGAAGAGCTTGGAGCTCTTAAAAATTGGAAGCAGGCATTATCTGTTGTGAAATGGGTGTACAATCAGCAAGAATACAAGAATCGTAAAAGCAGGCAAGTTTTTTGTACTATTATTCATTCTGTTAGATTTTCACTAGATGCCTATGAATCCGATCATTAAAAATCTCCCATGCACCCAAAAAAAAAAAGGAGCCATGTTATGCCTTGATTGTTCCATACCTATCTGGAAGGTAAAAAATCTCTCTTTTTATTCAAAAATAAAATATAAAAAAACAGATTGACAGGTTAAACTTTGAGCTTCAAGTTCTTTGCAGTTTCTTACCAGTCTAAGTTTTTTTATTTTTGTATTTTCTTAAAGGTTTGTGTATACAAAACTCTTGTCTGTTCTTGGAAAAGAGAGGAGGCATCGCGAAGCTCTAAAGATTTTCAATGAAATGAGAGTAATAATTTTTTTCCTTTTTACTACTTTATCCATTCATAATGACAGTTGTCTTTGATTATTTAGTATTTCAGCTCAAGAATGAGTGAACAATTAAAGTTAACATTATTACACCTTTTCAAAAATAGCTCAAGAATGATGGTGAACATAGACTATATCCAAAGTGCTATATATGTAAATATAAAAGTTTAAACGTGAGATATGTAAATAAATAAGAATTATGTGCTATGTATGTAAATTTTCCTTTTAATTATGGTTTTGATTGTTTATAGGAGGATGGGCAAATATATCCTGATATGGCAGCTTACCACTCCATTGCTGTTACGCTTGGCCAAGCTGGTCTTGTGGAAGAATTAATTCTTCTAATTGAGAGAATGATGCAGAAACCTTCTAAAAAACTTAGAAATATGAATCGCAAAGACTGGGATCCGTGCTTAGATCCTGATATCATCATATATAATGCCGTGAGCACAACAGCCTTCATTGTCTTTTATCTTAATTGCACAAGCATCCCCGAAGATGCTTGTTTGAAATTAATATGTTTTTAAGATGCCAACATTTTTTTAGTTGTTGAATGCATGCGTGTCATCTCGTCAATGGAAAGGAGTGTCTTGGGTGCTGCATCAGATGAGGTTTAATGGGTTGAGACCCACGGAAACAACATATGGGTTAGCCATGGAAGTAAGTTATGAACATTTATGATTTTACACCCATGCGGCCATGCCCAATATATATTCGCCATCATTCTTGAGCTGAACCGTTTCAATTGCATATTTTGTAACTTTTAAATATGTGGTTCAAATCATAATTTTTTTAAATTTCTATGTTCTTATGTTCTAAATTGTTCAATTATTTTCTCTTTTTCCCTGTCACAAGCTTCAGGCTTGTGGGAATTGAAATATCACTACAAATCCTACAGCAATGAAATTCTCTAATTCCAAGCGATATATGTTATTTAGTGACCCGTGTCTTGCTCCTGAAAGTATGCATGTCTTGGGATGTACTGCTCTCTGCTTATGTGGCCGTGTAATGGTTTATTTAGTGGAGGCTACTGGTGCTATTTTGATTTGCCAGATTTGACGCACAAGAACTCCTATGGAATTAATATTATGTTGAAGAAAAATGAAAGATTTACCTATCACTAATAATCATTTAATACAACAACTTAATAGAGATAGGCAATAATGATTTAATAAGAAAATCTGTGAATTTTGGCAGTAAATATGAAGCAAAAAAAAAAAAAAAAAAAAAAAAAAAAAAAAAAAAAGAAGAAGAAGATGAAGAAGAAAAAGAAAAAGCCAATATGTAGAATTAACCTTCATTAATCAATCTTTTATCTCTCTTTTTCACCAATAGCAATTTATATAGATGAAATAGAATAGAAATGTAAATATCGAAGTAAGAAAATCAGGCATTACACTGAGACATAGAGATGACAATATTCCCCTAGATTTACATAGCATATTTGTAGTGATAGAGTAACAATGGTGGATCAAATCATTAAAATGTGTGAATGTTTTAGATATCACGTTAGAGTGATGTTAATATAGACGGGGATGTTATTAGTAAAATTCAAGTTGGATGGTTGAAGTGGAGGAATGCGTCGGGCCTATTGTGTGATAGAAAGTACTGCTTAGACTTTAAAGGAAAATTTTATAAGATGGTGGTGAGACCTGCAATGCTTTACGGCGCAGAATGTTGGCCTATGAAGAGAACATAAAACTAATTTAAGTGTTGTTGAGATGAGAATACTTAGGTGGATGAGTGGCCTGACACTTAGAGATTAAATGCGAAATGAATGTATCCGTGAAAGATATGATGTAGCTCCAATGACAGATAAGATTAGAGAGAGTCATCATAGATGGTTTGGTTACATTAAATGTTAACCATCTGATGATCCGGTTAAGAAAGTAGATGTTTTACATTCGACTTATGTTAAGAAAGGGAGAGGTAGACCTAAAAAGACTTGGGCATGTCGGCGATAAAAAGTAGGGTTGGGGGAGTTGCCCGTAAGAAGCTGACGGTCACCGAAATCGAAATTTCGTCGTCCGCTTTGGAAGGACGCTTTAATTCATATATAGATTTAAGTTTAAAATTAAATATGAAAATCAAACTGACCATATATTTTTCATAGTTTAAATGAAAGAGCGCTTTACCTCAAACCCTGTATCTATCCCGGAGAATAAACACAAGACTTGATGATGATGCTCGACCAAATAAACTAAGAAATACATGACGTCCGTTTGGTCTACGAAACCATTTTATTTGCCAACATTTTCACCTATTTAATATGAAGAATTAAATAGGGTTTAAATTAAGTTGAGGTTTATTTTAAGCTGTGTTTGGAAAAGCTTCCTATAAGGGCAAACCCCTATAGTTAATTACATCTTAAATGACCGAAATCACATAAGAATACTCTCGATAAAAAATAAGGAAAAATTATCTTAAAGGACTTCAAAAGGATGAGAATTTTCAATGAAATCAGACAAAAATATCTAAAAGGGGAATGACTTAAGTTTGGAACATTTATTACAGAATCCAAAGAAAGAAGAACTAGGGGATGCCACAGATCCAGAGTAGATCATCGGTGACTTCCCCTCGTACCCTATGGTTTGGCTTCAGTTTTGAGGAGAAATTATTCAAATGTTTCATCCTGTCAATTTTATTTAATTGGGGCTTACATTCGTGTGAAACGATCGCACAAAAGACCCGAAAGATGTGAGGATTTAGGTCGTAACGAACGACAACCTCAGAATCCTAAAACGAGTTAGGACTTAGATCGTACAGCAGAGCTATACAAATGCCTAAAGAAAATGTTGAGGATTTATGTTGCGCTAGGAGAACAACCTCGAAATTCTATGGATTGTTGTTTTAATTCTATGAAAGGAATGATTTAACTGGGAAAGACATGTTCTGCTGTTGAAGATGGTCGTGCTGCCCAGTTTCAATCTCCTTGTCATGACGAGTTTGAGTTTTCTAAGGTGTTACGTTATAATGTCAAATTCAACGGCTCTATGGTTGTAGTTCTTCTGATATTTTTATAGATAACATGTTGAGGTTGTACAGTATATAACACGACAGTAGAATATGTAGCACAAGACAAACAGTAGAGTATGCAGTAAAGAAAGCAGTACAACATGCGGTGTAAAGAAAAAAAAGGTACAACAGGGAAGTGATTATAAAAGAATAACATGCTATAAACATAAAACAGACCTGTATACCTGAGAGGTTCGCTGTTCCTTAGGTGTAATTGATGCAACAGGTACAAACAACAAAATTTAAGGAAGCAGACTGAAATGCTTTAAAGAAACATCGTCTAGAAATCTCGAGAAAGATTGTCAAAAGACTCACGACAAGAGAAATGCGAGGAAATCGATGAATCAACAAATCAATTAAAATCGATGAAAATCGTAGGAAACACGGGAAAATCCCGAAAAGAGACCACGAGTGCTTTGTCCAAAAATTTCAAGGAAACATATGAAAAAGTCCGAAAAGAGGGGACCGCAAACACTCGGGTCGGGGCTAGGCTCAAATATATATATTAGTACTCGAGGGTCGTCGAAGGCTACTCGGTCACCCGTATGTATAAAACCCGTCACTCGACTAGAAGAGTGTCCTATCAAATAGCATAAACAGGTGATCAACAGGTGGACAACCAATGTTTAAAATGTATTTAAAATTTATGTTTTCAGCATGCGCATAAATTTCAAACATGCAAAAAGTGGTTGTATCAATTTTGTTTGTAGATAAAAGTGTATTTTTGTTTTAGAAAAAGGTGTATCTGTTCTTATCAATTTTTTTTTATCAATTTTAAAAAGTAGTTGTCCATGAGTCGATCGCGTTGTCGGGCATAAGGCTACCAATAACCTAAGAAGGTTCGGGTCAACTTCCGCTAGTCTTGTGTCGGTGAATGATACTGTCATCCTACAGCTCAACGGTTTCCTGAATCGGATCCCGATATCGTAGGATGACATATCATTTTTCTCTATCTCCGGTGTGCCTTTGTCATCACCGCCCTAAGCCCCAAAACCAAAATCGACCTACTTGCGACCTTGCTTGATGGTTTCACGTATAACAAAAGACTATACGTGGACACTTATGTATCAGACATAAGCATAAAAAACCGAACCAAGGAGCAAAGAAAAAAAGAACAAAAATGGGGTGAGAGAGAGGAGAGACTGATTCTCCTAAAACATCGAAAAGAACGAAGGATGAATCAACCCTCAAAGCTCGTGACGAAAAGTCCCGGAAAGGAAGACCCGATGATCCTCGAATCAATTCAGAAGGATATCACTTTCTCACATTTTCATAAGTGGGTCAATCCAAGTCAAAATGACCTCCTAACGTCGGTATCCAAACCCATATCAAAATTAATATTTTCCAACTCCCGAATTAACCAATAGCCTCATATATCACATGAACTTAAAATCTTTCCACAGGGCCAAATAAGTGCTCACGGCCGTGGTCAATAAAAAAAAGAGGAAACAACCACCAAGGCTTTCGGTCAAGCAACCCAAAGAACAAGAGAAGCTCACGACCAAGGCAACCCAAGACACAAGAAGCTCACGGTTCAGGCAGGCCAGACTAGCTATATAAAGATCTTTGATATACATAAGAGAGTGCAAAATATAATCATAATTTCAATCCACCTACAACAAACCATCCCAGTAATTCAAGCCTAACAAGCAGGACTAAATCACACCAAACAACCTCCAATAGGTATCACGGGTAAGGGTTGCAAGAGGAGCAAATCTCAATGGTGAGCTCACAGGTAGGACCAAAGGGGGAGGCTAACTCAACCACATCACAAACCCACGGCAAGGAGCCAAACAAATATCAAAACTGCAGCTTTATAAGCTTCCAAATCAATCCATCAAAACCAGCTAACAATTCTCGAATAAGGACAACACAGTACGTCAAAACAGTCTCTCAGGTAGGAGCTAAGGCCAACAAAAATCAAAACCAAAGCCACTTCTCGGGTAGGGGCAGGACAAGACAACACCGAGCTCCCAAATAGAGGTTAAAGCAAATAAAACTGAACCTTCTCTATGAAACAGGGACAAGAATAAACACCATAACAAACTCTCGGGTAGGAGCTAAAACAAGCAAACCGAGCTCCCAAATCAGGCCAAAATAAATCCCTCAAGGTTAGTAAAGGTCACATACCCAAGACAAGATCTCAATCTAGAACCCAGCCTCCAACTCTTCCAAGGTGAAAATCGAGCCCCTAAAGAGATCAAATCAAAACTTTAAAGGTTAATCAAGTGCAGTATATGATAACAAATATGGATCCAACAATTTTTAGACATATCGAAAACCAACAGGGGCAAAGAGAACAAAACCACACCCCAAATCAAACAAAAATAAGCTTCATAGTCAGGCAAAAGTCGAGAGCTAGAGCAGGTAAGACCGAGCCCCAATGGAGGCTAAAACCGAGCCATTCAAGGCCAAAAATAAAGCTCCAACAGAAATTAAGATCATGGTCTCCACATAAATTAACATCCAGCCACTTTTAAACAAATAAAAAATCAGCAAGGGCCAAAGCGAGATCCTTAAAGCTAGCAAAGAAGCTTCAAAGCCTTAGCAAAAATCAACATCTCATGCTCCTGCAGTGAAAACCGAGTACCCACAACGACCCAAAACCGAACCATTCAGGGCCAAGACAAGGCCTGAGCATAGAT